AGGTCGAGGACGAGGACGAGGATGACGACGACGACGACGACGACGACGACGACGACGAGACGACGACGACGACGACGACGACGACGACGACGACGACGACGACGACGACGACGACGACGACGACGACGAACGACGACTGACGACGACGACGACGACGACGACGACGACGACGACGACGACGACGACGACGGACGACGACGACGACGACGACGACGACGACGACGACGACGACGACGACGACGACGACGACGACGACGACGACGACGACGACGACGACGACGACGACGACGACGACGACGACGACGACGACGACGACGACGACGAACGACGACGACGACGACGACGACGACGACGATGACGGCGACGCGATGAGGACGACGATGACGACGACGACCCCAGTTACGTAAGGGGAGCCCGTTAGTGATTGGGTCCCGAAACCCCAAATATGGCTTCGAATCGCTACACAGGGGCTGCCGCAGCTCGTTTTTCGTCGTGTGGCAGCAGTTCCGGTCAGCGGAATAGAGCGGAGGAGGCGTCCTCTGGTACACATCGTTAAACCAGGTCCCACCCCACTAAACCCAGTCCCGCCAACGCCCGAATCAAATGAGTTGGCATCTCTTACTACAGATGTCGTAAAAGAAGGGAGGGGGTCACAACCCCTCCAGACGAGCAGTTTCGGACGCCCCCCCCCAGACCAGCCATCAAAGGGCGCGCTTTTGCCTAGACCCCACTGGAGCCCTCCAAGACAGCTCAAGTCAGACCCCCCTCCCCAAACCAGACCACCACCCCTTGATCTGTAAACTCTGGAGTGCTCGGCGAAAGGGCGGCGGAAGGGCGGCGGAGGCTAGCGGAAAGAAGGCGAGGCTGCCTCCGCTGGCAGAAGGCCGGCGCAAGCAGGCGGAAGTAGACCATGCGTCCTCAAGAGATGGCAGCGTTTTTAGGTTCAGGATTTCCGGCACTGGCCACCAGTCAAGGCGCTCAGAGTCGAAGAGGAAAAATCGACATCAACATACAATTTTGGCGCTCTGCGCGGAGTTTTTGGTTCGGCGCACCCCAGCGGCGCCTCCAGCGCCGCTGGGGTGCGCCGAACTCGTGGACAATGGATGCCATGACAATGGACACATGCCACATGCCTGTCCTGATTTTGTGGATGCCATGACAATGGACACTCTAACAATCCTATCACTGGATTAAACATGCGTTCAACATGTATAAAACATGCTCTAATAATGTTTCAAACATGTGTTTACATATAAAAACATGTTTGACACATGGTTTAGACATCTGTGAATTATTTGGCAGCTTGCTCGAGGCAAGAGTTTTCCGCGGAGCTCCAAAAGTTTATGTTTATGCTTAAAAAAAAAGATTCGAGAGAACGAGACCTTTGGCTCAGGGGGGGCTCTGGTTTTCGGGTCGCTTCTTAGGTCTTGGTCGTGGAACCTCATCGTGGCCGAATTTCGCCGTGGCCAGAGAAGCCCTTCGTTTCCGTCGCTGATTTCCTTTTTGCCTTGAGATCGTCTCGTCACATTTGTCCCCATCGGACGTTTTCGCCTTCATTCGGGCCCTTGGGCCCTCTGAGATCGATCTGCCCTGAGAAATGCTATAGAAGGATGGAGTCTAGGGCTCCAGTCATGACGTTTCATGATGCTGCGTTTTTTGTTGTTGTTTTTGTTCTTCTTCTGCGACGCCGGATCTCATGGTAGTTACGGTCGAGAATTTGTGGATACCGTGTCGCTCCGCCGGTTCTGGCCCACCACGCTTCGGCGCGACACGCTACCCACCAGCCTTTCCCGAGCTTCCCGCTCCGCAGCGGAGCGACACGCTACCCGCTAGCAGGGCGCAGCGTGTCGCGGAGGCTGCCGCCGCGACACGCTAAGCGAAAGTTGCCGACCGCATGCTGCCCTTCCCTGTTACTGTCCGCCACGGCGACTTGGCATCGCTCGGGCGTTTACTTTTTTTTTTTTTTTTTCCTCGGCGAGGGCCCTCGAGGAGCATCCTGGATCCTCTTGCGCAAGAACATCCGCGCACGAAGCCGCACACGGCATGGGGAGGGGATGTCCGAGCGGTGGCGCGGGGAGCGCCCGCTCGCAGGCCGAGTGGGCCCCGCGGGAGCCCCGCGCCACGCTGGCGGCCGACCCGCGCTGGGCCCCGCTGCTCGCCGCCGGCCCCCCGCCCTGCGGCGCGCCCCCGCCGCCGCCGGCTGGGGGCCGCCGCGGGCGCCGGCTCGGAGCGAGCCCGCCAGGGGGCCCGCCTGCTTGCCCCCACGAATTCCGGCAGCATGCGAAGAGCAGCATGTTTCAGAGCGTGACTTACCTACCCCGCTTTCGCTTCCAGGAAAAACCAAGTCATACCACGCGCCTCCTCGTCAAGCGGCCTGACCAGTACAGGCCGTAGTTTGGCATCGCTTGGTATCTCTTGGAAGCGAGGGTGGTCAAAAGCGAGGTAGGTTTGTTTTCCCCCTAATGCTGCCCAGCGTGAACCCCAAGCAGCGTGTCTCCAG